TGTATCCCCGTGCTGTTACAAATCCAGTCCCATCACAGTGCTTACCCCCATGGGGTTTACTCACAGATTGTACTTGGCAGTGTTATTCTATTGCTATATGATAATGATCCTTTAAGATACTCATTGTTTACGTAAAAAGACACGGAGAAGCCTCCTGCCCCAGCTGATTTCAGTTGAAGTAGGATGAAGCTCTTCTTCTGACAGATTTCTCAGTCAGCAATTCGCTCTAACATGAATAAAGTGCCACTCGCCTCCAGGAAACCATCACCATGGGAAATTTTAAGACAATCCTTTGTGAATAAAAATGTCCTGGTTCCTTTTTTTTTTTTTTTTCCTCTCAGGATGAAAACCCACATACCTGACATGCTCTCTGAGCTGAACAATCTGCTGCATTTCCGAGATGCTTTGTCCTGCGTCTTGCACTTTCTATGCTGTCCTATGAATGCTATCAATCTTAGAAAATACTGTGATTTGGGACACTGCCTCCTCTTGGGAAATCTTTCAGCAGAGCCATTTCAACCTCTCAGGAAGTAACAGGTGCAGCAATGTATCTTGGCCTAGCCAGAACGAGTGGTTGTTTATTTCTAAGCACTAACAGATTAATTTGAATCATAGAGTAATTGGTTCTAGGTAGGAATCTCACCTGTGGGTTTTTTTTTTCTAGTTCTTCCTTTGTTAGGTAATGCCTTAATGCCTCTATAACCAGAGCAACCTGAAGTACTAAATTAGAAGGCAAGCTGAAATTCTTGCAGTGTCTTACTCTTGTTTCCCAGTAGATCTCCAGTGTCCTTCCCCAGGAATACAATGATTAGCATTTTCCAGTTTAAAATACATTGAACTAGATGTCGCTCTGTTACCCAGCATTCTTTCTCCTAATGATTTAATCTGGCTTTGTTCTAGACAAAACAGTTTATGGCTTCTTGGACCACATGCCTCCCAGGTAATACAAACCAGATTTTGATGAGAGACAATATTTCTAAGGATGCAACATGTGTTATCTGAATGGTCACGTCTGAAAGATATGGTTGTCTCCACCTGTACTGAAAGACCACAGTTCAGTTTCATCCTTTATTAAGGAATGACACCTTCCTCCCTTCCTCTCAAAAGTTAATAGTGATTAAGCGATTAAGTGAGGAAGCAATGTAAGATTTCTCTGAAGATTAAAGTAATACCTACAAGGAAAACCAGTGGTTGATAGTTGCAAGATCACTGTATACTAATTGCAAGGTCATTAGTTAGATTTGGGGGAGTTAAGCACAGAAGTAATTTTTTAATCTTTGCTTTGGAGTTCACAATTTTCAGACTTGTTGGATACTTACAGCTCTGTCCAATGTGATCAACAGCTGCACCGGGTGGAACCCAGAGGTGCAGCGCTGCTCAGGACAGTGTCACTTCAGAGGAAGCATCAGTAAGATCTGCAACAGGTAGCAGTGGTCTGCTCTGACGAAAGACTGACGTTTGCTTCTAGAGCTTGGCTTTTGTCCCGCCATGCAAATGGCTGCACTTGGGGAACACCCACCCAAAATCAAGTCCAAGGAAAATTTCAGTGCATCCCATCACCACAGTTACAACTACAGCAGCCAACACAAATGCTCAAGCAAATCAGACACTATAATATTTGCCAAGTTCCATTCAAGCTTTTTTTTTTTTTTTTTTTTTTAAATTCTATGTGCAGTTTCACCTCATTTTTTCCTATTGCCAGTTAAGGACACTTTTTATGAAGAGGTAAAATTTTTTGAGTAGAGCTTAACAAATGTATGGACTAAAGCAGCTGCAAGGCAGGCTGGTCTGTCCATGTAAGCTCCCCTTGCGTTGAGTTAGTTGCATTTGTTAAAAGGACTTTTAAAATGGTTAAGTATTTTGTGAGCAAAAGGTCAACCTTAAGCTGTGCTGAAGTTGAGATCTCTTTTTCTACTGACCTTAGAGCACCAGCTTCATCAGAAGTGTGACTCAGAGAATGCAGAGGCTGAAATAAGGAGGAATTACTGACTTTTCATAGAGTTGCTCAACTTAATTCTATTCTCAGACACCAGGAATTACTCATGTTCTTCTGAACCTGATGATGCTAGCCTACTATGCTGTTCACTGGACACAAGGGTTCAGATAGTAGCCAGGAAGGCAGGATGCAAGTAGCTGCTGGCTAGCAGAAGCAGCATGACTCCAGAGCAGTACAAACTGCATATACTCTACAAGACATAAGCGTGCTTGTTCCATTCACCCCACAGCACTTTCTCAGCTGAAATCCAAGCATGCTGCTTCTAGGAGCAAATTGATTTGTTTCCAAGCAATGGAATGTCTTATATATTACTCTGGGGGGAAAAGGTCCAGCCAAATAGGAACAAGCACACACATATTTAAAAATGAAAAAAAAATCATATTTGCAGAAGGAGTAAAGGGAATCATTAAATATTACTAAGGAGGAAAAAAAAAGGAAGAAAGAAAATACCAGCCCCAACCCACCCCCCCCAAAAAAAAAGTAATTGGAAAAAAAATATATTACTTAGATTGTTCCTTTTCTACTTTTCTGAACAAAGGATAAAAACATCCCCTGTACTTCGGGAACTCAAAAGTGCCTTAAAATGATTGTTTAACTTTTCTATAATGCTCTGTAATTATTTCTGATGATGTAAATAAGTTGCTGGCATTTTCTGCTGTGCTTCTTTCAAAATTATCATTATTGTTGCTTCTGGGGTAGATCCATCTCACCAAGTGTGTATTTCCATCCAGCTGGTGTCCAGGCAGATGCGTGTTGGCTCAAGGTTAAATTCACAGAAAGGAATACACATTCACATGACACACTGCACTTGGCCTGTTGTAGGCATCTAAAGTGCAGTGTGATGAATCATGCCCTAGAAGCGCCCAAATACTGAGCTTCTGAATGTCTTGCTGTGCTGCAGACACTTATGTTGCACACAGGGAAGGTTAAGTGAAACAAATCCCAATCCAGGTTTCTCAATCTCTTTTTGCTTTGAAAGAAAACAGATATTTTTTTGTATTCTAGTGTTCAGCATTATATCCTGTTTTCACATCACCTCCCTTAGAAAATACCTTGCAGTCAGAAATGAGAGCCATATTCTCCGCTGTTCTTGAGCACAGTCATTTCAGTAGAGTTCATTTTAGGCCAATACTGTGTCCTCTCTTTTTTTGTGTTTGGTCTCTTCTGCACAAAAAATCCATCTCAGGACAAACATAAAATATTTTCCATTTCAAGTTTTAATTATATATCTAAATTCAATACCATCAAATAAGATCTTAGGTTATCAGAACTTTTTTTGTTTGTTTGCTTCTTCTTTTTAGGCTAAAACTGAAGTTAAACACTCTTTATCCGGAGCTTCATCCAAAGACCATTTGAGGTCAAGATATGCTAGGAAAATCATTTGTTTGTGAAACAGATTCTGTGCACACATAATTGATTTAAAGGTATATTTGAAGTCCCTACATCCACTGAAGCATTCTCAAAATCAACAAGTCAACATAGTATGAAATAGAAAGGCACATAGCTCTCATTGTCCCACTCTTCTTTTGTTTCATTCCTCTAATGTTTGCTCTAGGAGTAAAAAAATCCACTGAAGCCACTGGAAGCACAGGTGTGAAAAAATGGATTTCAGTTGAAGCTAGGTTTCTTGTGCCTAAAAGACACACCTCTGAAAATCTTCAGACAACAAGAGAAGCAGCGATTCATACTCATAAGCAAAACTTCTCTCACTGTCTACACTTCAGTGACCTTAGGCCTGAGATGTGCTATGAGAAGTTTAACTGAAAAACACTCCAGGATTATATAGAACAGTTTAAAAACGCATCAAAAGGAAGAGGTTTTCTAGAGCTAATTAAGTACCTTTTTTTTCCTTACCTCTTTTACCATCCTTCCTCAATTAAAGGTGTGACTTCAGGGACTCTTTCTATTAAAGGATGTCTAGGTGATATTACAGGAGAGGGAACAGAGATAATAAATCACACGGAAGCGGTTGAAACAATAGTAAGCAACGTGTACATTCATTTTTCCAAATCACTTCACACATTCATCACTTCACCAATATTGCATCTATGTAACAAGTAACTCCTTATGTTTCCCCCTTTGATGTGGCTTCCCGTTCTTGTGAGTGACTTGCAGTGGAGTTGTGATTCCACCTCTGCACAGGAGAACATGATGCAGATCCAGCAATGAGAATCTGTAAAAACCATTGACAGCTGACTATGGAAAATCATCATTTAAATGAAGTATATAATGACATCTTGATCATGATCTTGATAAAGGGATTGAGTGCACCCTCAGTGAGTTTGCAGATGACACCAAGTTGGGAGGGAGTGTTGATCTGCTAGAGGGTAGAAAGGCATTACAGAGGGACCTGGATAGACTGGATCTATGGGCCAAGGTAAACTGTATGAGTTTCAATAAGGCCAAGTATCAGGTCCTGCATTTTCATCACAACAACCCCAGGTAACCCTGTGGGCTTGGGGAGGAGTGGCTGGAAAGCTGCCTGATGGAAAAGGACCTTGGTGTACTGATGGACAGTCAGCTGAATATGAGCCAGCAAAGTGCCCAGGCGGCCAAGAAGGCCAATGGCATCCTGATGTGGTGAGCAGGACTAGGGAAGAAATCTTGCCCCTGTACTTGGCGTTGGTGAGACCTCACCTCGAGTAGTGTGTCCAGTTTTGGGCATCTCAGCTCAGAAAGGACATTGAGGTGCTGGAGCTGGTCCAAAGAAGGGAAACAAGGCTTGTGAAGGGCTTGGAGAATATGCCCTATGAGAAGAGACTGAAGATCTGGGGTTATTTAGTCTGGGGAAAAGGAGGGTGAGGGGAGACCTTATTGCTTTCCAATACCTGAAAGGTGCTTACAGCAATAGTGGGGTTGGTCTCTTATCACTGGTGACAGGTGACAGGGAAAATGGCCTCAAGTTGCACCAGGGTAAGTTTAGGTTGGCTATCAGGGAAAACTTCTTTACAGAAAGGGTTGCACTGGAATAGGCTCCCTGGGGAGGTGGCTGAGTCACCATCCCTGGATGTGTTTAAAAACCATTTGGATGTGGTGCTCAGGGACATGACTTAGCGGAGGGTTGTTAGTTCGGGTAGTATGATTAGGTTGTCATTGGACTCAATGATCTTTAAGATCTTTTCCAACCTGAGCAATTCTATGATTCTATGGAATAAAAAAGGTTTGTGTTTAGCACTTGTTTAACCATATTAAGAAAAAATAGCAAAGTTAGAAAGACAACCCTGTTCTAGTAACTCAGTAAGTTTTCCTTCAGTAGTTTAGAAGGCAAAAGGAGATGTTTATGTCACCTTTCTTCTAAACAAGTGAAGGACTCCTTGCAAAGCGACATCAGCAACTACAGCATATTTTCATGATACACTGTTTTGTTTTCAGATCTGTTTGATGAACCATGACTGATAGGTCTAGCAATGTGTATATCTTCCTGGAGATGGCTTAGAATAACACACCCATATTTATTCTGAAACATCTGTCAAAGGTTGATGAGGAACGCATACCATTAAGATGTCCATCTAAACCTGCAAAAGGAAGAACAGCCATTTGCTATGCATGATTCATTAACCAAAAATAAATAAATAAAATCAGAAATGCTTCCTATAGGTACATGCTGCATCATTACTTTCTTGTAGTCAGTATTTAAGTAATAATATATATATAAATAATATAATATATATATAAATAATGCTTACACGTCATTCAGACAGTAGAAGTTTCCAACTTCAGTATACTTTAAACCTGCATTAACTGCCTTTTCACTGGTCTTAGCATCAAATAATATTGCAGAGCCAAACTGGAGGAGTCATTGTTTTTCCTCCAAAAAACATGTAACTAACCCTAAGAAGAAAGAATGCATTCTGCCAACGCATCAATCCTTTCCAATAATGAAAAAAGGATTTCCAATCACTTTATAAGTAACAGCTACTGCTTCTGTTTCCTTTTGAGTGAGAGAACTTTAAACTCAAACTACTGTAAAGCAAACAGATCTGTTTCTGTTGACAGAGTGTCATTCCTTCAGAAAATGATGCAGTAAAGTTGAGTCATCATCTGGCATAACAAAGGAGGGGGAGGTTTTCTTGGAGAAGATCAAATACCGGAGGAAGAAATTACTGTCAGTTCAGGAGAAGGGAAGTTTGCATCTCAACACGATGTTAGCTGCTATCTCTCACCAAAACTAGAGATTTTTATTACCTTTGTGTGTGGCCGTCCTGCATCTGAGTGTGGTGGGCTGACCTTGGCTGGCTGACAGACACCACACAGCTGCTCTCTCACTCCCCTTCCTCATCAGGACAGGGGGGAGAAAATAAATGGAAAAGCTTGTGAGTTGAGACAAGAACAGAGAAGTCACCAATGATCATCATAGGCAAAACGGACAAAACTTGGGAAAGATTAATCTATTGCCAATTAAAAACAGTAGGTTGGTGAGAAACAAAGAACTAAAAAAATGTATTTAAAAAAAATCTCCTTCTTCCTGCAAGGAGTCTCACTCCTTTATTCTTGACTCTTCTGCCTCCAACCCCCACGGATAAGTAGCATACCGAAGACAGGGAATGGGGCCTGTGGTCTTAACTATTCTTCTCTACTACTCCTTGCTTATCATCCTTCTCCCTACTCCAGCTTGGGGTCCCTCCCATAGGATACAGCCCTTCATGAACTGTTCTATCATGGGACCTTCCCACAGACTGCAATTCTTGCAGAACTGCTTCAGCAATAGGCCCATACCACAGGGTGCAGACCTTCAGGAGGAGGACTGCTCCAGTATGGATCCTCCACATGTGGTAAGGATATGGATAAGGTAATGCTCCAGCATTGGTTTTTCAGGGGCAGCAGATTCTTTCAGTACTCTCGCTGGCTGCAGTGTGGGGTCCTCCGTGGGCTGGGGAGCACAGCCCGCTTCACCATGGTCTTCCTCAGGGGTTACAAAAGAATCTGTGCTCAAGTACACCTCCTTCTTCACTGATCTTTATGCCTGCAGGGTTGTTTCTTTTTTTTTTTTTTACCTCACTTGGTTTTCTCACAGCTGCTACACAGCCTATTTTACCCATTCTTTAATGTTTTCACGAGGGCACATTCAGCTTTACTGATCATCTCAGCTTTGACCAGCAGTGAATCTGTTTCTAACACAAGGCAACCTCTGGCATCTTTTCACTCTGTCAGCCACCTCTGCAGCTCCCTGCTACCCAAACTTATACATCGAGGAGGTAGACATGATCATCCTTTGAGTGCTTGAACTATAAACTTTCCCCCCTCCTTCTCCTCACATTATTGCCAGTTTGTTTGTGAAGTAAAAAATGAAACAGGCCCAGTTCAAATCACAGTCTGCCAGCCCACCATGTAACTAATGGGATTTAAGAAAAAAATAAAAGAAATACATCTGTGAGTCATTCTAAGGAGAATGTAAACCATGACCAGAAAGCACTTTAGGGAAGTGGATTTCATCAGTGTGTGCACAGCTTTGGATACGGGTGACACAACTCTTACTGAAGCAAGATTTGAGGCTTTACAGTATCAAAGCAGCAGCAGCAGTAATCTGTACCACTGGCACAAATCCTTCGCAAGGCTGAGAACAACACCTTCCCCTCTTCCTGAAGAGGCCAGAAGCACTGATTACTACTGCTGAGCCCCTCTGGGCTAGCTGCTTCCCTGCAGAGCTAGTCTCTTTGAAGGCCAACCACAGGTTTAGCATCGAAGGCATAGTCTCCCTAGGGGACTGATGAGATGTCACCCTGAACCTTCTCCATGCTGAACAGTCCCAGCTCTCTCAGTCTCTCCACACAGGAGAGGTGCTTTGGTTCCTTCACTGCCCTTGTGGCCCTTTTCCTGATGCTTTCCAGCATGTCCATGTCTCTGGTACTGAAGAGCCCAGAACCAGACCCAGTAGTCCAGTTTTGGCCTCACCAGTGCTGAGCAGAACAGAAGTTTCACCTCTCTTTACTTGCTGGTGATACTTAACCTGTTAAAGCAGCAACAAATACTGTTGGCCTTCTTACCTGAAGAAGTAGTACGAGTCATCATGGTAAAATTCTCACAGATACTCACGTATGGGCAGCCAGCCTCATGGATGTTGGTCCTCATTGGGAAGGCAACATGTTAGATCACCTTTTCTCTTCTTGTAGCAGATGAGAGGAAAGCAACAAGTGAAGGCCTGTGGCAGCACTACCAGGAACAGTTAGAAAAGCTCCCCTAGAAAAGGGTACCTCTTCATTCCACATGGAATATTTCCCTAAAACACCTGGAACTTTGTTGCTTCAGTTTGATGTTACACTCAGTAATTTCAGACTAACCGTAAGGAATAGGGCTGAAGGAAGTAAAGAAAAATAGGTCATTTATTTAATAACTAAACCTACTGGCATGCCTTGCCTTTAGCTGAATCTTTGGGGTTTTGCATGTGATGACTTTATTTACAAGGTTATGTTAATTTTGGTAACTGTGCCTTTAGCCATCACAATGGTAGCAGTAGGTGCCAAATCTATGTATACTAAACGAAAAACCAAGTAGCTTTGCATTTAGGGCAGAAAAAAAAAATAAATGAACTTCTCTCTCCAGGGACTCAATCATCCTGCCAGTCTAAGTTGCAACACACACCTGATGAAATGATTGCACCTCAAATTAAGCTTTTTAATTTGTGTATGAAATTAGGTCACAAAGCTTATTTCCCCTTCCCCTCGCCCCCCTTCACAGCTCCTATGCATGTCAGTGCACTGTGTTACAGAGAGGAAAAACTATGCTGAGGGGCAGAACTTTGTGGATGGCTCTTCAGCATATCTATGATGTGTTTTACAAGTACAGCTTACAGCAAGATTCTGAAGCAGCGTGCTGAATCAAAACAAAGTGTGTTTTTCCATGATGCTCTTTGAGTCAATTGTCATTATGCTGCTAATGCTATCAGCACAGTAGTCTTACCTCCCCTTTTTTTTAAATAATCCCTTCCCATTTGTGTCACCAGCATCACAAAATCTGTTATTTGCCAAGTGTTCCTCAGTCCCTTGAGTCATGCAGGCAGTTGCCAGATTTGAGTGTGTAAATTAACTAAATTGTTGTCAATTACAATATGCAGCAGTCACAGAGGATTTGTCTTCTTCTCACTAGATGCAGGTTAAAAAAAAAAAAAAGTTTTTTTTGAAGTTAGTTATAAAGTAATCTGTACTTGCTCATAAGAGTTATGGTAACAGTAATGTGAGGGATAAAACATTTGTCATACAGAGAGACAAAGCTCCCCATCCAAAGTCTCTTATCATTCATCCATTCCAACCAACAACCTCCCAACTGATGTTCCAGCTACTCAGGTTAGTGGAATACCCATTTCCATCTCTGCCCAATGGCAATAGACTCAGGCTTTTGACACCAGGAACAAAAGGTCAAACCATAGTCTAGACAGAAGCTGTAAACTGGGATGTTCAAAAGCCATCAGTCTGATAGATTGCAACAGAGGAGCCCAGCAGAATTTTTGCAGCAGATGACGTACAGAACAGGTACTTTATCAAACATACTTCCCTCCCATTAATGAAGGATAAACACAAACCAGATTCTTGGCCCATGCTACATTCTGTATAATATTGTAGTTTGTATACACTTCAGTTTATCTCCTCTCTCCTCTCAGTAAAGTACTCAATTACTTTGCTAGGAAGGAAGATCCAAGACGAGTCAGACATACTGAAGGTGTGCCTTGATGTAGGCAGGATCAGCTAAAGTTTCTACAAGGGTTCCAGAGACTAATTTAATCCTAGGGCCAAATTCAGTCTTCTGGCTAAAAAAAGCAGATCAGCAAGCCATGGCAAACCAAGCTAAGCAGCTATTGTGCCTCCATTCTTTTTCTCTCCAAGCCTGTTACAACATTGCTACTGTCATCCCAAAATCAAGTAGTACAGGCATCCTAGCCAGATCTTTTAGACTATTTTGACTTCCTCAAGGGCCCAGATTTCACCCCATCTGTTCTACAACTTGCAAGTGGAATAACAACATGAAGGTGAACAATGAGAAAAGCAGCAAAACATTCAGGATTTATACTCAGCTAGTGCCTCATCATGCTTCCAATTGCTAAGATCTGCAGTGGTGTCAAGGAACAGGGCTGAACACCTTCTGCATTTGGCTACACGGCTCTAATATCCATGCAACTCCTGTGCATCCTGCCTACTTTGATTACTCCTGCTTTCGGCAGTTAACACCAGGAGATTAACAATTGGCTCCAGGACAACTGACTCTGGAGGCAATTAGCCTCTTACAGGCACCTTACTGGTTGCCAATTTCAGGGAGGTGAGAGGTGCAGAGGCTATTAATGAAATGCATCAGGAAGAAATAACTGAACTGTCAGTTAGCCTTGGGTCTCATCCATAATTCTGCTTAAGAACAAATACTGTAATTGCACATCCCATGTGAATTGCAGAAGGCTAAGTGAAATCCTTTTAGAAGGACTGCTTCCCTTTGCCACAAATAAGGGGTTCATGGAATGTTCCCATTATGGTAACATTCATTTAAAATTGTCCCTGATTTATACAAATTAGGTGGTAGTGAAGTGAAATGACAAAGACATGGCTGTGCCAATTTAAAGTCATGCCATCCCTGTCTGACTTCCAAAGCACACAGTGGACATATCACTCTTCCAAACTGGTGCTGTACATATAGACATGTCTTCACAGCTGAGTGCTGCTTGGAACACTGTGGTCAGTTCATAACCAAATCCAAAAATACATGAGGTACTTCAGAAGCAGAGGGTCTACTTGAGCTATTTAAACAGCAACAAATACATATATATATGTTCCCTATTGGTGAGCAGAGAGCTCAGTTAAGAAATCCTTAATTATTTGAAACCTTACTTATATTGGTGAGGGTCATGTGGGTGTGCATTCTTTGAGAATAAAGAAGATGGCTTCCAACTTTTTACTGGTAAATCCTGGTGCTGGAAAAGCAATTAATGTACATAAACACATTGCTACCTCAGCTCTATACCAGGAGATTCTGGGGAGTAAATCTGTGAGAGGAATAAGGTATTTTATTCCCACAACAGAGCCCTCACACTCCTGAGGGAGAGGTAGGTGCTCAAGATTGGGAAGAAATAGAGCACTAAGCAGTCTTCAGAGGTTACTGCAGGGAATGCTGTACCTTACATCTTGCCCCTTTCCATGATCTCATTTTGTGTCTGCGTCCACCTGGGATTCACAGCCTGCAGTTAGGTATGTTATCTGATAATAGCATAGGTATTGCACTCCTAACAACCCCTGCAGCTGGGACTGGAATTCAGATCTACCAACAGCTGTAAACACCAGGCTTGAAAATCTTAGACTTACTTCAATTTGTTTCTGAGGATAAACAATAAGAAAAAATGTCACAGACCTTATTAAATTAAAGATAAACACTCACTGCTCTCCTCATTCACCAAGCCAGACTCACTATAGAAAGCTATTAGGATTGTTAAGCATGAGATCCCAATTATGGATCCACACTGACTACTCCCAGTAACCTTCTGTCCTTCATGTGTTTATAAATAGTTTCTCAAATGTGCTGCCTATTACTATCCCAGGTGACAAGGTAAAGCTGGCTGGCTTGTGGCTCCCCGAATCCTTTTTCTTGTCCATTCTTGTAGCTGAGGGTGCCATTTACTGACCAAAAAGTTAAAGAAGCTGAATGGAGCACTCTTTAAACAGCAGTAGCAATTCCGCTTTTCCTGCTAACTGTAACACGAGGGGCTGCAGCATTATCCAGCTGAAGGACCTCGCCCCATGCAGCAAGCAAAAGGGGCAGAATATAAAGAGCCTGAGCACGTGTTGCAGAAGAGGATGCACAGTTAAGGATGCACTCATTTGTCCCGTGCTTCTTTCCTAGAGCTCATTGCCTGCTATGTCACTTTCTCTCTCCCATTCTAAAAATGTCTCTTAGCTTGTTTAATCCTCCTTCAATGGATTTTTTCCTGTTAGCAAATTAAAACTAGTGCTCTAGAGGCCAACAAAAAGCAGTCTCTTAGCGCAGGTGGGCCTTTTAAAAGGTGCTGAGCATTTTATTTGAGATTTGGAGAGAAAGAAACAGTCCAATAAAAATTAAATTGCACCCATTTGATACCAGTCATCCTTTTATTGCATATAAAACCTAAAAAGCTAAACATTTAAATTCTTCTTATTTTCAAGTCAGCTATCTTGTAAAATATTATATTTAGTATAAAATACGTCCTCAACCAAAATATTGATCTACCAGTTACCCTAGACAGAAAGGAAATTGGTGTCAGTTTAATGGTGCCTGGCAGTACAGTTTAAAACATTTCCATTACAGAGAGAAGGAAGTGAAATTCAGTATCTCTGCCTGCACACTGGGATGGATCTTCTAAAGGCCACAGGCAAGCATGTCTAGAGCTGGTACTACCTGTGCACAGAAGGTGAGAAATGCAACCGTGCTGCTGGCCTTCTTGGGTGAGATTGGTTGGCCTGTACCACAGAGGGAAGGTGGCAGCTCTTCATCACCTGATTTTAGCCATGATGTTACCTGTGAAGTGGATTGTCAGAAGCAGAATACAAGACTTTGCCCAGGAAGGTGGTGGAGTCACCATCCCTGGAGGTGTTCAGGAAGCAGGTAGATGTGACACTGAGGGACCTGGTTAGTGGGCATGGTGGGGTTGGGTCAACTGTTAGACCAGGTGACCCTTGTGATCTTTTCCAACTTCATTGATTCTATGATTCTGCAATGGGATTGAATGCAAACATAACATGGGAGGAAAGGGGCTATGTGTTTTTTATTGCCTTGATTAAACACTTATTAAAGTTTCCATCATGCATAAAAGTCCCAGCTATCACCACCCTTCAATCTCTGTCACAGCACATCCCGTCAGTGAAGGTGTGTGGGAGGCCTTGTCCCTTCGTGCCAGGTAGTTTATCTAGGGATACCTTGACAATTCAAACCCCTAAACAACCTTCCACTATACAGATTAGAAGGTCAGTATTTCAAGGCATGGCTCAGAGCTGGAGAGAAGCATGGCAGTACAGAGAGTGCAAAACATTCGCCTAAAAATATATAGACATAGCTGAGCTGAGTGAAGAAATGGGCAATAAAGCACCAGGACTTTTCTGTCTCCAGGACAGAGGTGGTAACTGAAGATCAAAGGCTGGAGAGCAATTCGTACATGTACAAAGGATGCTGCCCTGAACCACTGCCCAACTGAAGGCATGAAGCAATTGCAAATGCGCCAGAACACAGCATCCATAAGGAATGCCACTTAAAAGATTTTGGACTTTTACAGAAAGATCAACGCTTCAGTGAGTGCAGTTGTGAAGGAGAGAAGTGAAACCTTCCCAGAATGGCAAGATTTGCACCAAGTTCACAGCTTGGCCAAAGGGGAGAGACAGTGTGACATGGGAGACTCCGTGCCATAGCAGTGTGTGTGGGGGGATGGTCCACGCAGACCTGAGAGAGCTTTTTGAGTCCACTGAAAATTGAATTCCTACCAAAATAGTCGCCTGTCTGATGGAAGACATAAATCACACCACATTCCTTCCAGCTGATCCAAGCTGGCTCCCTCCTTATAAGACCATCTAGAATCATAGAATCATAGAATGGCCTGGGTTGAAAAGGACCACAATGATCATTGAGTTTCAGCCCCCCTGCTATGTGCAGGGTCGCCAACCAGCAGACCAGGCTGCCCAGAGCCACATCCAGCCTGGCCTTGAATGCCTCCAGGGATGGGGCATCAACAGCCTCCTTGGGCAACCTGTTCCAGTGCGTCACCACCCTCTGAGTGAAAAACCTCCTCCTAATATCTAACATAAACCTCCCCTGTCTGTTTAAAACCATTCCCCCTTGTCCTATCACTATCCATGCTCGTAAACAGTTGTTTCCCCCTCATGTTTATAAGCTCCCTTCAAGCACTGGAAGGCCACAATGAGGTCTCCCCAGAGCCTTCTCTTCTCCAAGCTAAACAAGCCCAGTTCCCTCAACCTTTTTTAATAGGAGAGGTGCTCCAGCCCTCTGATCATCAGGATGTGGGTGAAGTGGATGGCATGCAGAGCTCTGAGGCAGGCATGTTACAAAGAAATGGCAGCTATGCTTCCTCTTGTGCTGGTATCCCAGCAGGTCTGTGACATGCTGCTTCAGAACAGGAACAAAAAAAGCAGCGAGAAGCAGAAAAAAATCTGTGATCGTTTGGATCATTTTGAAGTTTTCTTATCCAAACTAAAGTGAAAACCTTTTGACTGAGCACCCACACCAACTGCCAATTTGAGCAGGATGATTCTCAAGAATAAGAAAGTGTAGGTGTTTCTTATATCCAGAAGCCAGTATGATGTCTTGCTGCCTCATACCAGGATTTTAAGGAGATGGGGCAGGGAGAAGCCTTTGAATTTGACCCAAGTCAGAACAGGACTTTAAAGCCGCGTGTGCAGCTGAAAAGCACAATATTGATGCATATAGAACCATCAGAACAGCCAGAAGAGCTTTGAAGATCTGCAGCTGTCAGCAGAAACTCACTTCTATCTTGTGACAAATGTATTAACCTTTTGAAGTGCTGGTCCAGGTGTCTCATCAGTTCTGAGACAATTCTCACCAGCATCATGCACACTGCACTCATGCTATACAAGTTGCCAGTGATATCACAGAGCTCGTTTACAGTTTGATTTCACCCTCCCTCCATTTTTACCTTCTTAAGAACAGCTCAGCTCCTGTAAAGAGGCCAGATTTTGTTTCAAAAGCGCTTAAGCTCCCAG